CAATACAGTAAAATATGCTCTGGAAAAAATAATATATATTATCAATATAGGTACTTAATTAAAATATAGTGGACTTATTAGCACGCGAAAAAAATTCTTTGTCCGGTTGATATGATTTCACGGACCACTTGAGTTGGACCAGTGTAAAATGCACGAAAACACGAGCTGGAGCTCACAGCGATAGGTTAGGATGTAACAGATGGTCACCGGTACCAGGACCGCAGCAGGAAACGTGACGGCCACCGGCCGATTGCTGCCGGTCCCGACGATATTGTGGCGACTACGGCCTGCGGTGCTCCAACGATCGACGGTCGCATACACTCCTAGTAGGAATATAGATCAGCAGCCGACGAGAAACGTGTTCACGTCAGTCACGTCGGTCTCGTCGTCGGGTGGTGGGGGGATAATACTCTTTTGTTCCACGTAGGTTGCTGTTGAACCGAAATGAAAATAATCAACACGTCAAAAACGCGTTTTCAAAAGTATTTGTATTTAATAATAATTAACGCCAATCGCCATAACTAATCAGTAATTTATTACAGTTAATAAATTATTATAATGATAACAGTAATATATGAATAAAGAAGAATAGTGTTAATATTATTGCGGTCATAGGTATGTAATTCAGTAATTGTGGGTTGTTGTTGGTAATAATTGACATCATTAGTGGCGCATTTTTAGCAGAGTTAGTTCGGCAAGGAGATATGTAAAACAAGTCTTGGAACCTGGTATTACCAGGGGCATGGTCATAAGATCTTCTATGACAGAAGGGACAGGCTACTTAATATTTATAATACCTATTGACATCCATGAAGTCCAGTGGCGTATTTAGGAATTTGTCATGGGGAGGGTCCAGATAATTTTCAGAACACAGAGCCACGGGGGACGAATTTACTCTTTATTAAATAAAATATACCATATTATTTATAAGACGATATAAAATTGTCGAGTTTTTAATTATTAAATAATAATATGTACAAAACAAATTTAAAAAAAAGCGGGTGAGTGGATGTCACTCTGCTGCTGTATAGTAGGTTACAAGTGGGTCAATGTATAATGGATTGTATTAAACTTGAACTCAATGATATAATATCATAATATCATTGTATAAGAAAAACGATTCTGAGCGAAGACGGTTTGTCAGTCTGGATATTTTATATTGTTATTATTTATTATAGCATGTTAGTTAAATTAATAATGAAATACTTTTATTTTTTATTTTTTTCTATGGTGATAGACAAAGTGTTAGAAATTAAAATCCCATTTTTAGCGGTTTTTCGTAATTTTTTGGTGGTTTTTACAGTGGCATTAAATAACTATTGAGAAAATCGAAAAATGACCTCTCTAAGATAGTAATCTTGATCCAATTTTCTAAAAGATAAGTTACTATATGTCTATACATGTTGAAATCGAAGCACTCCTTCTGGAAGAAATTTTGTATACAGGAAAAAAAAATAAACACCATTGTAGAACCAATAGATCCCTCAGAATTGAATATATAGTTATATGTTATAACTTTTATACAAATATTTCCTTAATTATACATTAGGTACCTACTTCATTCATAGTTGATCTTAGATAGCTTTTCAACCTTAAAAAGTTTGAAAAAGATCTATCTGGAGTGGTTGTAGATACTGGCAATCCGGGCAATGCACAAAACTACAAAATATTTGAATCAAAAAATGAATTTGGTATTTTTCAACCTTTTTCGGTACCCAACTGATAAAAATAATCACGATATTTATTGAAAATGTTGATATAACTATAGCTTCGAAAATTTTTTATACAATCCGTAAAATCGTATGATAAAATTTGTTTTTTAATCATGTAAAAACTGCATAACATTTAACATGTACGAGACACGAGTCAATGGGAGGGGTCCGGACCCCATGGACCCCCCCCCGTAAATACGCCACTGATGAAGTCATAAACAGATTAAAAGCAAAGGTGAATGCAAATCGAAGACTGGTCAAAAGACTAATAAACTTATTAATTTTTCATATTTTAACGTTTGAAAAATATATATTATAACTAATATCATACATACCTATGTATATATAAATTGTTTTTCTGTAAATATAAATCAGCCCCCCCTCTCATTTTATATTTCTAGTTCCGCCCCTGGACACGGATGCTTAGTCGTTCTAATAGGTCGGGGGCATCAATATTGTTCTATTGATTTATAAATCATCAATGAAACGATGATTAGAGCTGATATGCGTTAATATTTAACCTGAGTAATTTAGTTAATTGGCGTGTAATCAATGAGGCCGATGTGCATTATTGAGACGGGAGCTAGCAAAGCTTAGAAAACGATTTTTGACCCTATCGAGACACCGTGTACTACTGTATAATTATGATTGAAAACCAGCTCCCTTCGTGGGGCTGTCTAGATTAATTTAATTATTAAATACATTTAAGTATAGTACGATAATTTATTATTGTGTTGGTATTTACTATATATCTATTATATAGATATTATATCGTTACAATTCGGGAAATGCTTTTTTGATCGCATTTGATTAGAGGGGCCCACAACATTTTTTTGTGTAAAAAATAATTTATCGATAAAAGGAAATGGTAAAATTTAAGATAAATCACTTTACTGGTAAAAATGTACCTGGTAAATGTACAGAATTCACATCTCTACAACATTATATGGACAAACTAATTTATGATGGTAATAATTAAAAAAAAAAAAAACGTTTGTTTCTAAACCAATGTTATTTTTTTAACCGCAATTTATTAAGACGACAGTGGACATTTCGAATATTGAAATGAAAACGAACCTTATATAGTTACTAGCCGTTTGTTATATCTAGCCGAACCCCAGTGAAGACTGGTAGTGAGGAAACAATCATAATTATTATACCAATATAGTTACGTCTCTCTCAACATTTGTAATGATTGCATTCGCATCAATCTCACCGTATATATTATACCGCGATATACCACGTTTACGGGCGCAAACATTTAACGTGAAGATTATGTATACTTACAATCGAAGGTGCGTTTGATTACACTGTCATACATATTTTATTTTAATTTCAAACCCATGATTGGTGAAATAGAATATTAGGGCTATTGCTTATGAAAATAATCATCATCGCCTAAATGGCCAAAGACAAGGTTAAACAATGCCGGAATCATAATATATTGTACCTACGACATGTGTAAAAATGAAAAATAACAATAATAACAACGCTTGTTTTTCAACAAAATTGAATGATAGTCATAATTAATAAGCGGTACCTATAGTGTACTTAAATATTAATGAGTTTCATGTACACTTTTAATTACACATTACACGACACGAATTTTATGGGGTTTTAGTTTTTTGTTTTACTCTTCGTCCACTGTTATAATATTGTTTGAATGCGATACTGTAATCCTTATACTGGCGACTGTAACAACACGATTGTTCACTTGTCTTTGTAGTGTCATATCTTATAGTTTTTTTTTTTCACTATAGTTTTCAAATCGTTCAAGGCAATTCTTATAATAATATGGTTCATTTAGAATTGATAAAAAAAAAATAAAAACGATAAACAGAGATAACAGTAGAAAATCAGTATAATATTATTATATATTGTTTTCTAAAAGATTCATAATACCTACCTAAAAAAGTAATCGAATTATACATACCTAATTACTTGAATTTAAACACCGATAAAATTTCAATAATTGCAGCACAAAACTATACATTTTCATGATAGGTATTATATTTTATTATCATTTATATTAATTATTAAGGTATAAATGTATAATTATGGATATATTTTAGTCACATGTATAATAGTATTAATACCTACCATTGCAATAAAATTATGATATTTAAACGATCAAATATATAGAATAAGACTATTTTACCTTATTCGATGAACAATAATTACACTTTAAATACAAAAAAACTCATTGGATTTTTAGATTTATATAAGGAGGAGTGACTAATGACTATAATGTATTATAAAGGTTTGTAAAATTAAAATGTATGATACATTTTCATGCTTTGATTTGTATTTGTATATGAACTTGTTAAGTTTTTTCAAATTATAATTTATTTGTGATGCTCAGCTTATGACCATAGTCACCATAGCAAGGTACAAATATTTGTTTAAAAAAAGTACCTAACTTCTTATGACAAACTTTCAAATAAAAAATATAATAATTATAAATTTAATAAACAATAATATACATTACATATAAAATAACAGCATTAACTAATTTTTAAATACTAATAGGTAAATCTAATAATGTATTAGCTAGTTTATGAATATCATTATTCATTGGTTATCTATTCAAGAAATTATTTATTGAAAATGATTCACAACATAATAATATGTTATTTTATTCATTTTAAATTAAGTAAGTGATATTAGAATTGTTAGTGATAGCTTTATATGGACTGTTTTAAATATGATTAGTGATTGATTACCTTAAAAATGACGAACAACCATTTTATGTTGTAATGAAAGTGTCAAACTATTGTCATTTTATTGAAATTTTTTTATTTTATTTGCTTTTTATTATTTTATTAATCGTTAATAGTCATTAAAACTAAAGTGTACAAAATAAATAACAATTACAAAACTATTTATATAAGTAGGTATATCATAAGCGTTACAAAATGTATTTTTATTGTTGAAGTAATGGTTTTTATGTAAAACAAATTCAACTATAATAATATATAATTATATCAACAAGTTCACTTATCGAAAACTAATTATGGATTGTCAAAAATACAAAAAAGTAATAAGAATAAAAAACATTGACTATCAGTTACTTTGTTAGGTACATTCTTATAAAATAATTGTATATTTTTAAAACAGTTATATGAAATAAAATATTATTAATAAGAAATTAATTAAACATAAAATTAGTAGGTTGGTTCAGATGTTAGTTATATTTGTGTTTTTATGATATAATAACTTTCCTCAGTTAGGTAAGATGTACACGCACGATGTAGTGTTTATTTGGTCGAATTTATTTTTCGTCTGACGTTAATTGTTTATTTTTTTTTTGGGGAAACACCATACCGTAGATGTTCCGTTTTCGTTCCCTGGATGAATTATTATCGGGTTTGGATGGGCATTAGAACTTTCTGTAGTGTTTCCGGAAGTGGGAATTCGAAATTCACCCGAACAGCAACTGCTGTTGTTGTTGGCTGAGACATCGCTGAAATGATCGATCGTGACGCACGGGAGACAGCATCCGACCGGGAAGACGACCGGAGGAATGGATCCGGGAGATTGGACGTTACGGACGAAGGCGAGCAGCTTAGGTTTCGGTGTGTCGCACAACAGGCACGGATTCTTGGCCAGGTATGCCAGGAATGCCGGAAGCAGGGGCGCGGGCAGGATGGGGATCAGACATGGCGACGTGTCGAACGCGGACACCAGCGAGGCAACAGTGCAGGGCGTGAGCGTGGCCAGCGCGGAACCAGCGGCGACGGCGTTGAACAGCGCCGTGACGACTGTAGCTGGGCAGGCGCATAGGTACTTTGGCGACACTATGCATAGTTCCTCTATGAACGCGATGAGCGTGGAGGACGGCAGAGCCCGGAGCAGCGGTGTCATCGAGGACAGTATGTTCAGGAACTCGAGCAGCGTGCACGACAGAACGGAACCGAGACTGGCGGGGGTTGACGCGAAGAAAAGGAACAAGTCGTTCAGGACGGACAACGGCAGGGCATGCAACAGGTTGGAGAACTTGACGAGCAATCCGATGAGAAAGTCAAGGGCGGGCGGCGATAGAGAGGCGAACGCGTGCTGCGAACTGAATGCTCCCAGAAGGGCCGTGGCCGTGGCCGGGGACATGGTGGACAGGACGCAGGGCCGCCCCTCAGCGATCGACTTGAGTAGGTGGGCGATGGTGGTCGGTGGGAGAGATTCAAGGCCGGGCCGCGAACATACGACCGCCGACACGAAGCACTGTAAAATATCGGGCTGCAAATGCTGGATCAGGTTCGGCGAAGATGCCAGCTTGACCACGATCGTGTTGAGCGTGGGGCCTGATAAAACTTCGAGGACGCATGGTGACGAGGTGGCCAGCCACAGCAACGAAGCGGTTGTGGTTACCCCGAGTTCATAAACGATTTTAGCGTCGCTCAGTGGCTCCAGCAGAGTGCTCAAGGCCATGGCCGGTATGTCGCAAACCGACTTAGGGCAGACCGAAGACAGAAGTAAAATTATGGTAGACACGTTAACGTTATGCGATTGCGTCAGGGCCAAGGTTGTGCAGAAATCGGGAAGCGTGTGAGGTGGCACGACTTCGGCCGTTAGCGCTGGCTGCGATAAAAGCAGGCCAATTAAGGTTTCGAGCCCACTGGCCGACATGGCGGTCATCAGGCATGGTGTAGTGGACAGGACAGCCATGAACACAGCCAGATATTTGGATGGGAGGCAGCCTACCGCCGACTGGGTGCAGATCAACTTGAGCATATCGGCCAGCACGTCTTCCGGTACGGTGCACAGCATACACGGCGACGCTAAGTGCGTTGCCGCCAACAGGTGGACGATACTCTCGCAAGGCATCCCGGCAAACCGGTTCGTAATCGCCTTCAGCAGGTTGATCATTATCGGCGATGACGCAGCTAGCAGCTTGTTGTCTCTGATAAACAGGTCTCTGAGGTTGGCCGCTTCTATCAACGTCAGACCGTCCATCATGACATCCATGGACGTCAGGGACTCCAACAGAGCCACCGCGGCGGTCGTCGGTATCGAGCATGAGCATGGCATGGCCCCGTTCACCGCACATAAAAACCGCACGAAGCTACCCACCGGCATGACCGTTTTGAGATGTGCGTCGGCTGACATCGAAATCACTAGGTTGGTCACGTCGCAGGGTTCCAGGTAGTTTAGCATGCACTGTGACGTCGACAAATATTCCAAAAAGTCTTGTATCATCGGGGGATCGAAGGCAGACAGCAGACACGGATACGTTGAGATAGCGGTCAACAATTCGCGCAGACACGTGGTGCTCAGGCCGCCCTGCAGAACATCGAACGAACTAAACGATTTACATATGTTGCCGATGGACTCCGGTGGTAGCGAACTCATCACGGACGGTGGCAGCCGAGTAATGGCAAAGATTATTTTCATCCTTACCTCCAACGGTATCGCGATCGACGACGCATAGATCGCTTCCAACAGGGCGCTCAAAGTTTTCACGGGCAGCTGAGCTAAGAAGCAATGGACATCGGTCAGGAAGCCCACCAATGCCTTCAAGTCGGTGGGTGGCAACGAAGTGATTATCGAGGCGTTGTTCGCTCCCAGAAACTCTGTGTACTTGTCTATCACACATGGTGGCATAGCGCAGAACACAGAGCCCGACGTATGGCTTTCGATTTGTTTCATACAGTTCAAAAGCGTAGCGAACGGGATATTGGACATCAAGTAAGGCGTCGTCATCAACTGCGTCATCATGTTCACGTAAGCGCTATTCGGAATTGCCTGTGTCGAGCTGGAAACCGATGTCATCGTTTCGAGTACGTTTACCAGCTGAGTTCCGGACATCGCGGATGTCAGGTACGGGGAACGGCAGAAACACGACAGCAGTTTTGAAAAGCAAGCGGTGTCCAACACTCTCCGCGAGAACACTGAATCGAAGACAGACAGAAGTTTCTGAATGATTCCGAGCGAAATATCTTGCAGCGCACACCCGGTGCCGACTAAGGCGTGAAAGAGATCGACGATGTCAGACAGTTGAAAAGCCTTGAAAATTGTGTCGTTGGACACCATGAAGGTCATTGTCAGGTTTAAGGAACTTGCTGTCAGTTCGGTCATAAAGCACTGGTTTTTGCTCAGGATGCCTATCAGCTTGACGATCGCCTTAATCGACAGCGTGGCTGTCATCTCGGGGGACGTGAACCGGATCACGTACGCTGACCGGACGCACGCGGGCACGTCACACATCAGACTGGGCGACGAGCATGTGACGCCATAGAGCAGCCCGATGATCTCGTCCACGGCGATGGCGGTCGCCTGCGATAGGACGACCAACAGCCGGACGAGCACGTTGGGTGGGCAGGTGGACAGCACGCTGGCCGGCGACCACGCGGCTAGCAGCAGCGCGACCGTGGCGGGGTCCATTGAGTTTATCGAGTATGGCGAACAGGTCAGGATGGCTATCAAGCGGTTGTGAGTCACGGGCGGCAACCGGTGAGCGGACGAGGCGATAGTTGCCAGCAGAGCGTCGACGAGGTCCTTCCGGACCATGGTTGACTTGGACATCAGACACAGTAAGTCGACGGCTCGCGTGGCGGATATGTTGTTGGCGAAGGACGACGACAGCACGTTGGTGCTCAGCAGTTCAATGAGGTCGGTGGTTGACGTCGACCTGGCCAACGAACGCTCTGTACACATTAACGCGTCGAAGAAGTTCGATATTTCCACCGGCGTCAGCCTGCCGATTGCGTTCGGCGACAGCGCGCAGTGGATCAGCAACTCCCTGATGGCGGGCGACAACGCGCACAGCGCGGTCGGCGGCGCCTTGCTCAACAGACAGACGACCGTGGACGGCCGCATCTCTTTCACGATCTCCGGGCTCAGCATGGCGGCAGTGATCAGATCACGGATCGTGCGGTCTGGCACGACCCTCATCAGACACTGCAGTGCGCACAGGGTGTCGAACAAACACACCACGTTCGGCGGTTCGATGGCGGTCATCAGCGACGGCCTGCGGGCCAGCTCATTCAAAACGCAGCATAACGTCTCGGTCGATAGACAGGACAGCGAATACGGTGCCGTCGGCAGGGCGTTTATCAGCAACACGATGGCGTGCACGCGGTCCTCGGGTGGCGCCAGATCATCCCTGGCCGACAACAGGGCCAGTTGTGACGACGTCATGCCACCGTACGAGCAACAATCGGAAGTCGACGGCGGATACGTAGAGGGCGGTAATATCAAAGTGGGCGCAGGGATTGTAGTGTTGTCCTTGCAGTCGAAACCCTGAAACACACCACAAAATAATTTTTTATTTGTTATTATAATTATTATTTATTTATCAAAGCCTATTCAAGAGAGAGAGAGAGAGAGAGAGAGAGAGTGCAAAACTAAAAGAAAAAAACCTTTAATTGTAGAATATCAAAAACAGCATTTATAAAGTATTAAAATTAAATTGTACATGGCAGTTATTTAACTAAAACCTAGGCACAAACAACAAAGTATTAAAGTCATAAGCAACACTGTTCCATTCTCTCAACATACGACTTAAAATCTCATTCAAACTATACCTATATGATTGGGAGTGAAAAGGTAGGTATGTAAAAAGTAGTCGTGGAAAGAGTAGGTATTAAAAGTGGGAATATCCATATATTACACTTATCAAGTATTTCAGGACAACTTATTTTATTGTTTAATAATTTATTTTGCTATTATTAAATTAATATAATATTATGGAAATTATTGACATTCCGGTTCAACGCGACACTATCTGAGTGACGCATATTAAGGCGAGTTGCACTAAACATATTTGAATGAACCAATAATGACCTAGTATGGTCCTTTATACAATATTTAGTGGCCCATGATAAGTTCATAAGACTTTACACTAAATTTAATTAGTTTTTATGCGACACGTAGCATTCGGCCTATAATTCAATGGACTGATAAATAACTAATAATGTATTAGTTTATAGGTCCGTGGTCACTCTTAAATATACCTGAATATACCTGTATGAAGCATTGGGACCTGTCCAAGAAAACATCAACAAAATCATTACATTTTTAAAAAAACCTAAATTATATACTTTCCTTTATCTACATTTTTCTTTGCTTATTTTTCTCTTTTTTCTTTCTCCTTGTATACTCTTAACATGTCTATTGTAAAATTTCATCTCATTATGTAAATGTATATATTACTGTTGTAAATATTGTTAGACAATAACCTTAGTAAGTAAGTTGCTACTCTAATAATAATAATAATAATACAAATACTGTTATTTCATAGGGCGAGGCCCCTTTTCGGTCGACTCAATCGGCCCAAAGCTAAAAGTTTAATATTTCCTTAGAAAATGATGTTAATATTATTTTGTTGTTTTATTTTTGTTAATTATTGTCAAAAATTACATATTATTATTATTTATGCATATATTAACTATACAAATTGTTATATTGTATACAACTTACCCATATTTCTAATAGTTGTCTACTTGTCTATATTATCTATAACGCATAAAGTAAATTAAACTTTTTGTTTGGGCTGAAAAGTGAATTGGCCATTTTTCATGCCCATTTAATAATACGTTATAAGGTGAATACGTTTCAGAAATATTTGTGCACAGTTAAAATATTTGATTTTCTACAACAATGAATTTTAGAAATAATTAAGTACTTATAATTACTATTATAATAATAAACTCATAAAATAAGTACATAATTACTAAATAGTAACTATTTTTTTTCATTTATTTACGAGGTTTTAATAATATTGTACAACAATATTATTTTATTCAATTTTATTTTAAAATTTCAAATCTATTATAATTAACGTGTCAAACTGAATATTGTCCATAATATAAAATGAAGCATTATCTTCGATAACGTTTTAATACTACAGTACTACCTATAGAGTAGCTAGAGTACGTTATCTGCTGACAAATATTGAAATTAAAAGACATTGACGTGAAAACAATATATTATGTAGGTAATTAAATCTACCAGGCACTATCTATATATACACTTATAGACAGACCATTATGATTTGCCCTTCATTACATCTCGAGTCTTTAAGATACACGCATAATAATGACAGCTTAAAACTTATTATATCCATGTCCACCCATTGATCAACTTCGATGCTGTCTGCAGGTTATCATTATAACCGAACATTGTTAATCTATTATGACAACCACCAATTACTGTTTGGCGTTAATGAAAATAACATTTTATTATTTTATATTCTAAAGAATAAAAATGACATATATTGCGTAGGTACACCCGTTTTCAGGTATTGTTTTAGATTTTACCACAGCGTATAAAATAAACATTAAATAGTGCGTTGACTCATTATAGGAAACTGGTCAAACAGATATTATCACAGCAGAAATATGAATTTATAAGTTTGAAATACATAAAATGGTCATAGAAATGTATACAGAGTAAATACTATAAGGAACCATAGACAAAATAATATGAATTTTAAACAAATAAATGGTACATGATGTTTTAAAATTAAAAAATATTGTAAAATAATTTAAAGTTAATATTTAATACCAACCTAGGAGATTTCGTGGAATTTTCCATTATTTCGAATGACCTTGGATGACTTAAGTCTTTGGCATACAATAATTTATTGCTAACTATCCAAACAAAAAGGCTGCATGGCTACATATTATTTATGAATAATAGGTAGGTACTCTTCGAAATTTAGTAGGTATTCGTGAAAACGTGAAGCTATCCATCACGAAGGACAAATAAGTCATTACACATATATTTGCCTACGTATATTTCCTTGTAATAGTTTTTATTTTCTTTACATTTAATAAGCATTTAAAAAAATATATTACTTAATAAATATTATACCTAAATAATATGTTCATACCAATATGTTCCTTATCATCGGTATGGACAATTAAATATTATATTAACGGTCAAAAAATTTTTAACTATGAAACTACCGCCAAGGCATGTAGGCACTAGGTCAATATATTAGTGTATTACCAGAACATCGAAATTTAATTTAATATTGACCTATAGCCCACAGTATATAGGTACTGATGTAACTCGGGAGGCGTTCAACTCTCCGCCGAAATTATCCAAGTTTTGGCTGTTTAATACAATACAATATGTAATACCCACTCAATTTGTCCTATGAGAAAAATGTCTGGCAAAAATGAAAACGAAAATTGCCTCTGAAAAATTTAAGCCACGTATAGTTGCTGACCCGCCAGGCGTTGATTGGCAAAACTACCTAATCAGAGATGAAAATCGACTAAAAAATAATATAGCTGCAATGGCGTTCACTTATCATGGGTTCGACTAACCTAACCCAAGTGCTTATATAATATATTTTTTATAGTCACGCTCATTAATTCATTACAAATCGGTTGTATTGCATTATTGTGGAATTTTGACAGTAGGTATATATTATTATGTTGATGCAATACTATAACTAGATATTCAAAATATTTTATGGTTTTTTTTTCCGTTTTCTGACTAGACCACCAATTGAAAGTACATAATTTATTTTGTTTACCGATTGATGTGAAGGGAAATTCGGATTTTATTTTAGGATTATACTCTTTTTTATGTTACTACACAATATTATATTAGGTGCATAACAATAACAATACAGTACCTACCTATCGTGATATAATCTAATATATGATAAATGTGTATAGAATTTATTTAGTAGGTTTATTTTATTGAATTCACATTATAATACAAGATAATATACGTTTATAAGCTCAATATTTAAGGTATATAAAATATTTTTCAAAACGCCTAAGGCATATTTGGTTACTGATTGATTTGAAGGGAAATTAGAATTTTATTTCTTTTTTATGTGACAACACAATATATTAGATTAGATGCATAACAGACAACATAGTATCGTACTATCCTGATATAATCTAATTTATGATAAAATATGTATATAGGAATTTATTCAGTATCTTATTGAAATATTGAATACCTACACATTATATAATATAATATATACGTTTATGACCGAAATATTGAACGTAGGTATATGAAACATTTTTAAAAAACGCATCGATAGACATTATTTTTTTTTTGTTAATTTAAACGGTTCTACGAATGAGTAACCTAAAATTTTTAGGAGTCTATTTATTCCACAACGTAATATATTGTTTTAAGCGACTGGTTCCCCGTATAAGTAACATAATATTAGTGATAAATACGCACTGGTAGGCAGGTAGGTAGGTGCGCGTTTACCATACAGTAAACACTTCAGAACCGGAAATTAAACGCTTAAGACCACACGTCGTACTCGATCACGTGTAATAATATTTCGATTATAATAATAATTATCAGTATTAAATGCCAATGAGCAACCCGATCGAGATAAATGAATATTCCCTAAATCCATAATGTTGTGCGATCAAAGATAAAATAAAAACCTAAATATTATAGATATTTTTCCTATATATAGCTAACCTATATAGTTTGGAGATTTTTTAGTTATCGGCCAGTACTAGTTTAAAATAAACTAAAAAAAAATCATTTTTTATGAGACGTTAACACGATTAAGGATTAGAACGAATTATTATCGAAATATGGCTGACATTTTCCCAAGTCGGTAGGTACCTAATTACCTCAATATTATATAAAGTATGTAATAATGTAAAAACATAATTATTAGGCAATGAACAATGTCGGGTAAACTAAAATATGTATTCATAAGACAAAATATAAAATGTATGAGTTTAAGCTATGAACGCGTAATATTTACTTAGAATAACGAAGTGCTTGTATAGTTGTATACAAGTACAAATAACACGTCACTCTACACGTTTAGGTAGGTAGGTACCGGGTACCTGGCCCCTAATATGAATAATTATAATAATAATATTATACACTTTTAACCGTCTGCTCGACACGAGTCATAAAATCTTAAACAATAATATTGTTGGAAACCAAATTGGCTCGGCTTCACGACCTGTACCTACGCCTATAACTGCACTTGAATATTATTATAATATTTCAGCTGTTAAAACTCGTATTACATATATTATTTTAAAGCCGATAAAAATTGGTGGGCGCTCTCGCGAGGTTTTAGTCAAAACATTATTTTAAAGTCAAATTTAATAATAAGATCATCACTCACCTTTAGCTTCAACAGCAATAATATTGCCACGCACGTGATTGCCGTTAATCTCTTCATTTTTATTGTGCGCAATCGTTGGACCATTCATACATGAATGTCCAGGTCCGAGATTTGACATGTACTTATAAATAAAAAATTCGAGCTGTTTGCGAATCTATAACGATAATGGAGCTTATTGTCCGATAATGGTGAACAATTGTTGACGTAACCATGAGAAGTGTGTGCAGCAATGATTTTTATCGTCAGTACGTCGATATAAACATCATCTCTTCCTCGATAATACATTATTATGGTAAAATCAGAACAGGGCTTGAAACTGATATTTTATACCGATTTTCAATACCGGTTTAAACCGTGAAAACCGAAATCAATACCTAGACCGAAATCGGAAAAATTCAAAACCGAAATCGAAATCGGAAAAAATAAATACCGATATCCGAAACCGAAATCGTAACGGGGAAATATATTTTCGGTTTCAAGTCCTGAATCAGAGAAAACCGCAAAATATTTATCGGTAAGCATTAAAAATCAATAAATAATAATACAATATTATGATCTACTACGGTTGTAGAGGAATTTTATTGTCGTGGCCTCTCGCGCGAGAGTGAATGTGTAGTTGACAAAGATTTTAAAATGTCGAAATAAACAAATACCTAAACGTCAGACAGGCGGTAGGTATTGTAAGTTGCCTTCGTGTTGGTGTATCGGAAGAATGACGTCTGTTTTAGAAGGTTTTTAAGCTATTGGGCATAGTGTAGACATTAGTGCCCTCTATACCTATACACAATTGACACTACCCATATATAGGTAGTTGATATTATCAGAATAGCAATTTATTGCGTTTTTTTTTTATTTTAAGTAATACATATTATATTATTATGACGTGTAGCCGTGTAGGTAATAATAATATTATTTATCACAAAATATTTACGGCTTGCAGTCTAGTTTTTAGTAAAAACTCGGTCGTCTATAAATACTAAATTTAGTTAATGCCACCGACTGGACATTTTATTTTTATCTTTCAATAATTAAAACTAGTGAGTTTTTCGAACGTGAAATCTAGTCATTACATCATATTTTATTTTATGAGTATATTATGTATTTATATCGTAGGTACACGTTTAAGTGTACTACTGCAGCAATAGCACACGTCGTGCCTATGCTCGTGTACCAATCGCGAGAAAGCTGATGTCTTATTATTATATACTAAAAATAAATTTACTAAAATGGGAATACTTATGTCTATTTTTCGATTAAAATTTACAAATCCTTTAAGTCCACCGATTACACCTCACAAATACACAGCTGTTAAAATATATGTTCTGGTCTGTCGAGCGATTTTTGGTATTTTTTCCACAGTTCATAATATAAATTATTATTATTTTACTGGAAAACATTTTAAACTTTAAAATAGAATTATAAAATAAAACTACTACAATCGACAAACCACAAATCGAATCAAATATTATTACACTTCTGAGGTAAGACACGTCCTGCTATAATTGACAATTGTTTAAGTCTTATAGTAAATTAATCGCTTTCAGATTTTTATTGAAAACAGCCCATCCCGGATCGAAAACTAATTCATTAAAGACCGTGTCATTTTGTACGCTATGTGTTTGAGACACCGGAACCCAATCCTTAATGTGTACATCCGTCAGGACTTGTTTTTAAGCGTTTCTAAAGTGTTTCTAAAGCGTTAAATAACATTTCCACTCTTATTAATGATAAAAAAAAAATCTTTTAAGGTTAGTAATCACTCGAATCGGCTCGTCTCGAGACAAACTCCAAGCAACCCACCGGACGACTGAAAAGGAATTGCAGAGAGCTCCCTAAACACCACTCTAGGGGTGATGCCAATATTTGGCAACTTCCCCTCTAACGACATAAATTAAATTTTATCATTATATCACATATTTTGTAATTTTGTAATGCTTATAATTATACTAATTATATAATTATATACATCAATTAAAATATTATTTACGAATTGTCAATTTACTAGACTTACTATTAATGTATTACAAATAAAAAAATACGAAGGAAGTTTCTGATACGATAACCCTAAGATCAAATTGGATAGGTGTTAACGATGTTTATACCGGGAATTTTCTAATTTTCTAATTTATTGTATTTTATTTAGTTGCTATGGTTAGTACATACAAATAGTATGTTTCTAATGTTTCTATAGTACTTACCTATATTTCGCCCCATTATACTCATAGTAACTCATGAAATGCCTGGAAAAAGAAAATCTCCCTTATTCATTCTTGGTAGTCGTTAGCAAATAGCTAAATAAATGGAAGATAACATGAACAAAAGAATAGTCTGTGAGCTGTGATGGAAGGAAGTAAAATTAAAAAGACAAAGCTGCAGTCAAATGGGTTGAAATATTATAATACCTATAATGGCTATAAGTTTGTTTTGTTTTTATAAATAGTAGGGTTTTTTTTTAACGAAATATTTAATCATATTATTTATACTAAATTAAAGCTATCTAATGGTTATTAACAGTGCTTGAATTGGACAAAAAATAGAAGGGGTATGCAAAAGTATAAAACATTTGTGCGTCCCCCCAACATTTAAATGTCTTATCAATTCTTGAAATTAGAACGGGTACGCTAAAATATTTTAAAAATAGAAGTTGGACTCCGTCCCCCCGCGTCCCCCCCAATTCAACCACTGGTTATTAACTTAAAAATTATATTCTTTCTACACTGTATTATGATAGTTTTATGATTGGAATTTTTGTTATGCGATTTTGTGGGCCTTTCTAAATATGGTGACGATCCTCGGCTGACTTGAGTTCGACGGTTTTCTTCAGCTGAATATTGTTTTAGTGGCGATATTATACTACATTTGTCTTTACTATGTCATGTCTGTTATTACAAAAAAAGGAATTATAATTTATTAGTCTTAAATTCCCAATAGTACACTGCCCTATCAAGTAACTATAACAATCAGAGATGAAAAAGTATAAACCTATAATCTGCGCCACGTTTGAAATCTAACAATTATTTGATATTATTTACGCCTTATTTTACTTTAAAAGTTAATTTTTCAACTTATAAACATACAAAAATAATAAGTTTAAATAACATTATCTGTGACTAGTCACTAGTGAGTGAACCATGTACACAACAAATTTGAACAAAGAGAAATATTACTATTATTTCATATGATTATGTTTTCTTAATAATACAATTTAATAAAATTTACTTATAAATTAATAAAAATAAAATGTTTTATTAAACAAATAGGTAGTTACGTCAATCAATTTACATTAAGAAATTTAATTAAAATTAATTTTCCTACTGTGTGGCTTTTAAAAATATTTGTTGTACACATTAATTTGTCACTTTACATTTTTTTTGAACTAAAATTCAAACATTTTTTTAGAATGATTATACTAAATGTTTGTCATCGCATATAAGTGAAACAATTGTCCTATATAGATCACACGATTAAATAATATTATTATTATGAAAAACGCAATACGAGCTATTAAATTATCTATAAGGTATTTAAAAATATTGATTATCAAAGTCAATTTCAGCATTTCACATACATATTTTAAAAAGGTAGGTATACCTGTAATTGATTCTGATGAACTGCATTGAAAATGTTAAAAATTCATCATAATTTATGAAGTTTAAAATTTTATGTGAGTAAAAAAGTTTTATTCTCGGGAGGATAACGTTTAAAAACAAATATTTAATTTTAACACACCTACACTGTAAAACATATTTGGTCGAAGTAGTAAAATATAAAAAAAACTACATAAAATGTGTGGTAACAAACAACCAATCAACTTGGAGTGTAAATATTTCAACATACTATCGTAACCACGTGATGTCTAAATTTAGGTACCTACTGTTTTTTAAACTTTGCAATTTGCGAATGTATAGGTTATTTGTGAATCAAAATATTCACATCGATATTCTTCACTTAAATTAATATAATGTGACATATATAATTTAAAATTTTACAAAAAACGACTTTCGTGAGGCTTAGGGACATTTTTAATAATATTTAATGCGTTGATTGATCACTTAACATATCTCACGACATTTCCTTATGTTAATACACTAAATAGAGGAATAGATCCTCACGTACTTTAATTTATGTCTATATTCTAAATATTTTTGATTATATTCGTTCACTACAGTGGCGTATCCAGGGGGGGGTTAGGGGGTGTAACCCTCCCCCCTAAAATTGTTAAATTATAACAACGTTATCATTAATAAATCATTTTAAGATAAAATTCCACAAAAATAAATTATAACCCCTCCCGCAAAAAAATTCTGGATACGCTACTGGTTCACTATATTATATATTATTATTTATTTTCAACGGACTATGATTAGTAAATATATTATATTACCATAATGCCGAAATAGGTAATAAAAAATTGATACCTATAGTATGAGTAGGTATAAAAAGCATTTTTAAAGCCTTTCGCATCATTAAATCAAATATTATTTTTGATTAGTATGTTACCTAGTAATACTAGACATAATAATAGCTTATACCTAAAATATAAATGACAATATTGCTTTACTAACTGTAGTTGAGATGTGAATAATAAAATAAAACCAATTTTATAGGTAACGAGTCATTATTAATGAGTAATGACGATGATTTATATTTTACATGATATAACTTTTGTGTCTTAACAGAATACAATTGTAATCTGTTATAAATAACATTTTTTTGACGTGTAAATGTTAACAATATTGATTGCGCGGACACGTAGGTAGGAAGTTATGTTAGGGACAAACTAACAACAGCAAGCAGGGACCTTAGCGAGGACTGGAGGAAGGTTGCAGGGACCGGGTGGTGGGTAGCACGGTGCTGGACATCCGTACGGCGACGGAATCAAAAACAATTGTGGTAGACCAACTGGGGTTTGGTAAACGATATCAGGTTTTTGGACGTACAGACCGGGGTTGAAGAATACTTTAGGTAATGGCGCTGGTGGCAAAACAACCGGTGGAGTCGGTAATGGGGCTGGCAATGCGAAGAATATTTTGTTCGACTGTGGAGCTGGTGCGCACGTGATAGACTGTTCTTTAACTACGTTTCCGTCGTTGATGACAATAGGTCCGGGTGCCGCACCTGGAAGTATGATTGGGGTGGGTGCTGGACATTGGGTCAGCTTGACAAGCAGATTAGGGGCTGGACCGGCGGGAACGACGATCGGTGCGCACTTTCCGGCTACTGACGGCAATTGGACTATCAATGGTCCTGGTGCTGGTCCTGGAGCGATGACCTGAGGTGCCGGTGCGGGAACCGACAGGGTTGTAGCTACGGTTGGGGCTGGTGAGGCTGGTCCATAGGCTGGTCCATAGCCTGGTCCATAGGCTGGTCCATAGGCCGGTTTCATTGGTGGAGCGACAGGGAGTGGAGTAAGGGGTGAGTAAGGTGCTGCAGCTTTAAGGGTAGCCAATAAAGATGCTAGTGCAGCTGGACTAATAGGTGGAGATGGAATGCACGGTGGGCACGGTGGGGCTGGAAGACATGTGGGTGGTAAGCATGGTGGGGCTGGAAGACATGGGGGTGGATAGCATGGTGGGGCTGGAAGACATGGGGGTGGACAGCATGGTGGGACTGGAAGACATGGGAGTGGAAGGCATGGAGGAGCTAATGGTGGTGCATAGCAAGGTAATGGACATCCACCACATGGTACTGCTTCGACCTTATTATGATTGAAAAACAAGTTTATTAGTTCGCTATCGAATAAGATGTACTCAATAACAATTTAATTGCTTACCTTAGCCAAACAAACCACCGCCAAAGCGGCTACAAATCCAAAACTATTCATATTTTATGATATTACTGAATGACAACACCTATTAATGATTCTCATTAAACATTAGTACCTAGATATTGGCTTTTATATACATGAAAATGTTTGTGTTTTTCCACACTTCCACTTTCCTTGAATCTGATTGCCAGTGTTTATTAATTGATACGGTCGATAGAATCTACGGTATATTATTGTTCGTTACAAACAACATGACTAGTCACTATCCAATAGATTGCAACGTTTTAAAATCATGTTAGAACTATCATGCAATTATTATTTTATAATCGTATAAGTATCAATACGGGATTATTACGTTTATAAATTATATACTATGGCACTTTAATTGCAATAGTTGGTTTTCGAATTCAGTGTTTTTCCGGTCTTTATTCGATATTTTTTCTAGAGATCATAATATTATGTATAAATAAATGAATTAGTAGCAACAATGTCTAGGTCAGTTGTAGGCGTTCAATAAATTTAAATTAATTCTTTGTTTTCCTAATCCAATATCATATTATATTTTATGACATACCTAAATAGTATCCACATGGAATTTATAATTCATTTGGTATAGTATTAGTATTAATAATAATATTATAGGTAAATTGACATTTATTTTACTGGGTTACTTTTGAGTTTTGACTACAAATATGCCGAGTACAATTATTTTCATACGATCGGTACGGTGAGGGTAATATCGTAATAAATTGTTATTTAACAATTGTACAGTATTGTTTATAATTTAAACTCGAAAATATAATATGTACTCAAGAAAAATGAAGCTCAGATTTTATCGAAATGGAAAATGTATGTATAAAAACAAATGCTTCCTTTAGTACTTACGTATCAATTTTTTTTATGATTTTATCGAAATTTACTGAGAAATCAAAAAATGACTCTGTACCTTCCTTAAGTAATCGCTTCTCAATTTAAAATTAAATGAGCGAATGAGTGATGCATACGATATTTGTCGAATTGTTAACCGGCTGACAAAATGTCTCAGAAGACCAGCCACAAATTGCTTAAGATTTGGTTCGACTGTTTATGGTAAGTATACCTAACTTCATGACTTTTTTGTTTACCCAACAAATAGAGCTAAATTATTTTTTTTATTTTAGTTTCCATTTTGGGAGTTTAGATTTGCCAACAAAAATCATCGTAGGCGACAATAATTAATTACTACATTATCATTAAAAATATGGAACATGCCACTTACAATATCATAGAATAAGTCTTATCTTATCAATGACTAATCTATATGTTCTGAAACAAACAAAATTGTTAAACAACAGCTGATAGCACTTATCCAATCTGTTATAGGAAAGTGCTGGTGTGGATAACAAAACGGGAATGTTTAGCGTTATAAAAGCCTAACCGAAATAATGGTTTGCACGCATTATTCGCCGTCGTTTTAACGGTCCACTCGTTACAAATGATCCGTTAAGAGCCACCTCAGCTTTGGCGGTTATTTGTTGGCCATGGTAAGGAATCGTATAATATTATATTTAATGTGGTAGAAAAAACCAATAACAAAACTATATTATTTTTATTTAAGTTAATAGGTCTTGGCTGACTGTACAGACATCCGAGAAGTAATGTCGTCGTTCCCAGAAAATCCATTCATCGGTCCACTTACAGATGCTTGCAAAAACATTGACTTTCCCCAATCATTCCCTTTGCCCCCATCTCAAGACTTTCCGGCTTTCAATTCCACCTCCCGACGTATGTCCCCTTTTTCCTGTTCCTTTTTCGGGATAATAACTTTTCGCCGAAACCACTACCAGGCGCACCAGAAACACCTGCCGAAGAGTCGACTTACTAGACTCGTCTCCAACAGACATACCTCGACTTAATAATGAGCACTACACCAATTTTGACAATCAAGTTTATAATATAACAATATTAACTTAAGCATTGACAATTACATATTTTAGCTGATTCTTAATTATACTTTACGTAGCTATATGTGCATATTTTTTTTATTAGTTCAATAAATTACTTTCTAGAACACATATTGTATTGAATTTATTATAAATATGTACATTATTGTTATTTTATACAATTAATTTTGATAAAGAATGATAATATCAGTAAACTAATTAAACGAACCAATATTTATTAATACCTATTACTTCGTAAACTCATGCAATTTGACAATACTTTTTATCATAAGACATTGTATACAGGTCGTAAATTATTGTAATATGCTAGGGGCATCATCAGTTTACGACATATCAATTATTTGTGACTGTTTTGAATTCAATATTCCATCGCTAAATGGCATTCACTTGTTGTGACTCGTAACATCCATATAGACCTTACAATATTATACTAACTCCAAACAAAATTAAACCATACATTTAATATTAAAATTTAAAAAAAAACCGTAGGCACACGTTTACGGGTCAAATTTTAATTCAATGATAAATCACTAACTTCGATGAAAAACGATTCTACATTTTTGGTAACCAAGGTACCCCCCCCCCCCCCGATCATTTTAAAAAGTAGAGAATCTAAAATTGTGAAATCTTAAGAGTAACAAATAGATCCTGCAATTAGGTACCAGAACCTTCTCCTAAAGTTGATGATCAAAGTATTTAATCTACTGGAAAAAAGTCTTCAGGCAAAAAAAAAAAATAAAACACATTATATTGTAAAATGAATGTATCAACCGACTATCGTAACAATCAAAATCTAAAAAAGAGAATTTCGATATTTAAGTTATCTATACATACAATATAAGTACATTAGTGTCTATAGAGATCGGCCCAATGTCTATATATTTACATAACAGCTCAAAAGACAAATATTAACGAATTAAAGATATAAGGAATACCTATGAAATCTATTATTTTATTGAAAAATCAATAAACCTACCTCTAATCTTATAATAGTTCTGTTTAATTTTACCCTATAACCGTAACATACATAAATAACCAAAATTCACAAATCACAACATTAAAACACCCTGTTGATCAAGAAGTCACATTTAAAAATATATGAATTCAAAATAATATATAACTTGAGTTTACCTATATTATTGTCATATAACCATAGTTCGAGAGACTTTTATTAGGTACTGAAAATACTTTATATACTACAATGTTATAACGTACTATACTACCATATTTTTTTTTTATTTTTTTTTTAGTATGATAGTAGACCGTCGACCGACGTCATCTATTATGCATGAATTGAGTATATAATTTATTTACCTGTTTTTTTTTTTAAAGAACACTACAAATCTTGGAAAAAAACCGGACAAATATGTTATGAAAATATAATTCGTAAATATTATACAAGAATTATGTACTTAATACATACATGGAGAACTATTATCATACATAATTATATTATGTACCTGCCTAAATTATAATAATATTAGAGATATTGATTTAATTTAAGTATCCGGTATAATAGGTCTTGACGGATTTAAACGTGGTACAAATAATATATAAATTTGAAAATCTAATAAATGCAATGAGTCGGTACCATATCATTCGGTTTTATTGTGTTTGAAATGTTTACTTCTAAGACTTATGCAATATTACAACGTATATATACACAACCACAGCGTCAATGACCGTTAAAAAATCACAATCGTTTCGGAGTTTACCGGCAGTTATGTTTTCGTATAAATGTTTTTGGATGTATAAAGAAACACAAAACAATTGCTTAAAACAGCAATAGGAACTGCAGAGTTCTTATAAACAGACTGCTGTACTAGACGAATAGTACAGAGTGACACGGGAAACAAAATTGTTATGACTTAAAAATAGGACTAAGGTAAGTAGTCATAACAATACATTTCAAAGGTAGAAAAATAAAAAAATATAGGTAAGAAATTTTAATATAAGAGATTTGATGAACCTCTGATGATTTTTAAATTTGTTGATTCTCCTTATTTTCATTATTATAAATTTATATTATTATTGATTGAAATAAAATTAGATTTGTAATATTATACATTACTCTCCATATACTACTAGTTACTACTGCAGTACAGCTTAGGTATGCATTTGAATATTTAAATGTAACACTTTAAGATACTTTATAAATTGTATTTATATTATATATTAATATATTATAGTATATTATTTGTAGATAAACATATTATTGTCTACAATTTCCACTCAATATTTTTTCTCAAGCTTAATGTTTTCTTTAAAAATGGTTACTGACTACTTGTAATAAAAAAAAAGGTCCATTGAAAATCAAAAAAGGTATTTGATTGAACAAAATTAGTTCATGTTGTAGTTGAATTATGATTCTCAAATCTAACCTACATTGTCAGCACAGTTGGGAGATAACTGAAGACATATTATCCTTGAAAAATATATGTCATAAAATAGTCTCTGATTTTGTTTTTACATTGAAGTATTAAAAGTGAAATTTATGATATATAATTAACTACCTACATAGGGTATTATAATATAGTGTAGTTACCAATAGTACCAACAAATTCGATATAATGTAAAATTATTAAACACTGCCAAGCAAAATATTGTAAGCCATACGTTTTTGGAAAAAGTATCATCTGTAATTACAGTACCTATACAATTTATTTCTTTGCAAAGATAGAATTAGGTATAACGATTGAATAATTTATTTAGACATTTAGTATTAATATAATATATATTATATATTATGTATGTGTATATTTATAAGCAGCTATTTGATTGTATTAATCCTTGAAATCGTAAGAATGCCACACGACGTTTATTATTATTTTTCAAATGCCAATTGTTGTTAATTTGTTTTTGTTTTTGTTTTTGTTTTTTTATTATTATAAAAGTCGACTTAATATATTTTCCTATCATTACGAGAATCAAATCAATTGTTAATAATAAACATAAAAAGATTGATACACAATTTTTCAAAACAATATTATTGCTATCTTATCTATATTAAGTTGGGTCAGTCGTTCAAAGATATACTCGACGGTGTTCTAGTTATTGATATATTTTCGCACTCGTTTACGGTTGCATCACGTACAACGGTCTTGCACTCGTGAA